ATAATTCCTCTTGATATTATTTTTCCTTCTCTTGTTATTTCAACATTTTCTAAAGTGCTATTTAACTCTTCCTTTCTTTAAGTTATTCCTATTCAACCATTTTTTCGATTTCCATTTACTATCTCCTTTTTATATTTTCAAGCATTTTTTATTGTTTATCAGCAAAGCTCATAGTAGATAGGTTTAAATTAGAGATATGATTTGAATTTCTACTAACATTGTTGTCTTCCTAAAGTACTTTTTATCTTTAAGATCTAACAATATTGATTCTTCTCTTTCTCTTATCTTCCAAATGTTTCTCAATCTCAGTCACCATGTCATCAGTAATTTATACACCTACTGTATCACGTTGCTTGATTAATTGTATAACTTATTCTCTTGTCTTCTAAAATAATTCATTAGGATGAATGCCTTCCCGTCGACAAGCCTCCTGCAACCTTGGAGTAAGAGTTGCCTAGGTAATATTATAGAAATCTCTATGAAATAGAAACGATATAAATACTATTCATAATCACTCGACATTAATCTTTTTAATTATATTCTATAGTCATTCTTGCATTTTAGTAATTGAAGTCTTAAAAGCTTTATAAATATAGGAGATTAGTTTAAAGTTCATAATTAAAAAAAAAAATACCTTTCTTTTTAAAACAAGATTCTTTAGTACTTAGATAAGTATATTTTAAATAATTCAATCATTTAGTAATTATAATAAAGATTTATTTATCATTAAAAGTTTTATATTAATTAAGTAAAAGAATTAGGAAACATTATTGTGTAACTGTTCTTTCATTATTCAATAAAGAATTTTTATAATAATAAATAAATTTTTATTAAATATCTTTAAATAAAGACAACTATCATTATAAATATTAGATATATAAAAAATTATTTTTTATTTATTTTATAAGACTTATATTAAATCATTATTATTCTATTTATTCCTTAGTTTATAGAGCTTCTATTTCTTCATTTCTTGAATTGAATTCAACAGTGCTTTACATATCATAAACTTATTATTATTAATATTCTTCATATTTTGTAAAACTTTATAAAAGATCTTCTAATGATGATCTTACATTAGTTATTTTTTCTATCATTTCATTTGTAAATTCTTGTTCTTTTTAAAGAAAATGAAGATGATTTTATTGTTAAACATATTCTGGTGAATTTTGTTTTTCTTCCAAAGTTTATTCTAATTCTTTAATATTTTATTCAAGTTTATCATTTTCAGAACTTGCATTGTCCCAATTATTAAACTATTATATACTAATAAAAATTACTTTTTCTAATAATGATACCAAAAATTTAACTTCTACTGTTTATTTTTATCTTTAAACTTGTGAATCAAGTAATTATTTAAGCATTTATCGACTATCTTTATTTAATTCTTATCTATTATATATTGCAAATTTGGCTAAGAAAGAAGACAACTTAAATTTAAGTTTATCATTTCCTTATTATTGTAATCCTTTTTCCTTTTGATTATTTAATAAGATACTTTAATCCAATTTGCAGGAGCTTCAATCTCTGTTTTAGATTCTCCCTTTGACAAAACATTTTCAATAAATTCTTCTAACGAAAAAGTCTTTGCACCATAAAAAAGACGATAACAAGTCTTTAATATATCTTTCAAATCACCATCTGGAAGATCCTTCTTGATTGTTTTAAGCCAATCTTCAATTTTACTATGTTTCATTTCACATATCAGAGTTATCAACTCCTCTTTTTCTTTTTATAATACATCTCTTGAATGTTTATCTTTTTCATCTTAAGCAGAATTTATGGCATTTACATATGCTTCAATCTCTTACTAGATTACTATAAATATATTGAATACTTCTTAAACTTCTTAATAATATTCAATAGTAGAAATCTATTCTTAGAGTGAGTCTAAGATTTCATAATGAGAGTTATATTATTCATCAAGCTCTTTTAATCTCTCCTCTAAATTTAATTTATAGCTATCCAATCCACTTTTTGTATCATTTAAATAGTTGTTAATTTTGTTTGCTTGTTCCTTTAAGAACTCATACCAAACTTTACACTATTTATCATATATTGAGATTTCCTTTCTTCTATTGTCCTCTTCAAAATTCATGTCAGATGATCAATTAAATAAAAAATATTTTTAAACTCAATTAATCGTTACTTTTACATTGCTCTTGTAAATTAAGATATAAGGTTTAATATTGTCACCTGTCATATTGTACAATTATCCTTCATATCGTGTTTTACTTTCACTATCTGTTAATATAAGCTTACTAATAGATTATATGTTAAATTTTATACTTTTCATCTAAATTAATTTTGAATGCTAAAACCAATCCTTTCTTCATATTCTTATGAAATAAAGATTAGATTGGTTCTATTTTTTCACCCAATTATTATTTCATATGAAATGATCCAATAGCTGCTCCTCTTATAATATCAACAGCACAACATTATTATGTTTAATACATTATTGAATAAGTGGCCATTTAATCTTTAACCAAATCTTCCACCACTCCAATATAAACTCTATGTAAATGTTAATATTCTTATTGTGCAAATATTCCAGAATTACTGATATGTCCACCAATAGTATGTTAAGAGTAAGGATTATATAATTAAGATTAATTATTAACAATCGAAGCCAAACCTTCCTATTATTCCTCTTGTTTAGACTATTCACTTTATATATATTCTATAGCAATTTGAAATTCATAAATTCCTTTAGTGAGTGTACATGATCCATAAATCAATTATACTTCATCTTAATCATTAAATATAAATTATTTCCCTTTAATTGTCTCTTATATATTTGCATCTTCTTCTTGTGAAAGTTAAGATTTATAGAAAAAGATAGCTAAAAATATATATGGATAATTTATTTACAATCATCTTTTCTCATAAAATTCTTGATAGATTCCAATGAATTACAGACTTCTGTAACTATCATATCTTTAAATTCTTAAGGTAATCCATTCTATTTTGATCCCTATATTAATTAATTCTAACAAACATTTTATAAGTTTTATCTATCTTTAATAATTTGAGATATAAAATCATTTATCTAATAAGGATAATAATCATACTTATTCTTCTGTTGATTGGCCAGTTTTAAATTTAACTAATTATTCCTTTAATTTCTCAAATTCATAAGAATTATAGTAAGAATTTAATATTTCTTTATTATGTTTCATTTGTATTGTTTTTTATTTTGATTCTTGCTCTAATAGATTCAATTTAATTTGTTTCAAATAGCCTAAAGTGTATATAATTATTTAAACAACCTTTTAAAGATTATTGCAATTAGTTTGTGATTTTATTGAGTTTTTCTTTATGAATTAATTCATCCTCAGAAAATTTGATAATTTATTATTCATTTTGAGTATTAGCTAATAATTCTACACAATTTTATTTCTTTTAGATTTCAGATATCAACACACAACTTTTGATATGTGATTTATGTAAGGAGAGTAAACACTTCTAACAACCTAAACGATCTTCTGAACATGAATTGTATAAACACAAAATAGTAATTCTTTATCCAGGATGATAATCACATATATTATTGTTCATTTAGTTTAATATATTAATTTTTCAATCTTTTATGCTTTCAACACAAGTATTTAACTCTTTTGCTTAAAGACAAAGTAATGGAATAATCAAATTATTGGCTTATGGTGTCTTCTTTGGTGGAGCCTATGGATGTGCATGGCATTAATGGAGAGGTGCTCAACAGAAATAACTATATGAAAAGGTTGAAAATGAAATCACTGAATGGAAGCCTATTACAATTAATGGATTAAATGCCAATAGATATCCATGGGCTCGTAATATTAGAAATTGGGAATATAAATTAGTCAAATTATATGGATATTTTAGAGTATTCAATTGATATAAATATTATAGGATGAAAGATTTTTTGTTAGAAGAGAAAGAGAAGGCAGAGATGGGTTTCTTGTTTTTGCTCCATTCGTAACAGCCTTATAATTTAATGATACTGAATAGGATCCAGAACAAACAACTAAATCTTAAGTGATGGTTAATTTAGGTTGGGTACCTAAAGATAATATTAGTGATATCTAAATGGGATAAGAACCTATTGGTACTACTGTATATATATCTTACAAATTATTAGACTTATGAAAATGTACCTCACAATGAAGATGATGATTAATTAACTGGGTTCAATAGAAATATTGCAAACATGGAAGAAGATTACTAAATGCCCTTTGTTGAATTTGTTGGTATGGTCAGAAGAGGAGAAGAGGAAGATATTTTAAAAGGACGTAGAAATTGGCCAAGAGAAGGTGTGTACAATTACATAGATTTATGGTTCATGTCTAAATTATACAGGTCTTTCAATTTGGTATTAGAATTTATTAATTTTTAGACTGATAGCTCTTCTGCTTATATTGAAAGATTAGTGTAAGAATATGATGAAGAATCTGCCAATTTATATCCTATTCCAGCTACTAAAGACAACTTCGATAAGCCTTTACCTACACCTTAAACTCATTAAGCTTATTCATTATTTTTTGGACTATCATCTATAATGTCTCTAGCCCTTTTAGCCATTAGAAGATGAATACCAACATAAAAAATATTACCAAATTCCAAAATATAAGCAGTTATTATTTTAAATTTTAATTAATCTAACTACTATTTCATGCCACACTATCCAGAAGATATTGAATATTCTGATAAATATCAAGATGATTACTACGAATATAGACATGTCATCCTACCTAAGCATATTTTCAAAAAGATCACTAAAGGTAAAATAAAAAATGTATTTATATAGGAAAACTTTTGAGTGAAATGGAATGGAGAAATCTAGGTGTATAGTAATCTAGAGGTTGGGTTCATTATGAATGTCATAGACCTGAACCACACATTTTACTATTCAGAAGACCTAAAGGAACAGATCCTAATAGTGGATTGCCTCCTTAAGGGTTTTCAGCCCCTTATTGATTTAGTTTTATTCATTTCGCACAATTATTATAATACTTATTTCAAATAAAATCAAGAAGTACTCTTAGCTTTGCAAACTACTCATTATAATGGTTATCTGGAATTGTAAACTTAATTTCCATTACATCAGTACTATCTTTCATGTATATTAAGATTGACCAAATGTTGTTCTTTAATTCATTCACTAAGATTTAAGCATTTTTAGGTTTTTTGAAAGCTATTTCACTAAAATTATTAAATCAAATATAAACATAAATTCTAATTAATTTCTCAATTTGATAGGTATCATTTTTGCATCATTCCAAAACTATTCTAATATACCTGCTACTTTTTTCCTTGATTGTTATACTTTTACATCATAAATTTCAAAATGTAAAATATTAACATCATCATCATCTATCACACCTTTTATATTATCAATCTTATCTATAAGAATTTTTGAATTAGTCAATTTAAATCCAGATTCTTTGTGAAGTATAAACTCCACATCTTCTACTTGTATTTATACTGATTAAGAACAAAATATTATTGAGTATATTATTATTAAAATCTAATAATTTAGCATAATTAATAAAAAAATAATCAAATCAATTGAGTATTTATTAATGATTACAAACTTCCTCTTTTTGGCTTATGTGAAGGAGATAGACTATGAAATGTCTTAAATGTTGATTATTAAACTTCATTTGAATAAAAGCAATCTAAATATGGATTTGGATCTTGTTAATTCAATTGATATATAAAATCATTCAAATCTTCATATATCAAAAAACTTATTTTTGTTTATGGAGTTGAATTTCGAAAGGACAAAGAGTCCCCCATATTTTATAATTGAGTATCTTTAAAATTGATTTGATTATTTGGTCCTAGTTGACTAATCAAATATTAAGCTAACGGCAAACCTAAAGTACTAAATGGCTCTGTACTTCCTTTTAAAAATATTCCTTTGTTTTATTATTATAATAATGCTGAATCAGGATCTTATATAGAGATTTGACTTTTTGTAACTTTTTGAGCTTTTAAATTTAAATCATGGATCTAATCACTTAAATTTTATATGTTCTCATAATAGTGATTGACACCCCAATTTCTTTTCTTATGATCAGTATAAGATGAGGCTTTTGATAATGCATCTTATATCTATGGAGAAATTTTAAAGATTTAATGTTTCATAGTAATTTTCAAACATCCAGGTTTACTTAAGACTCTTTTGAATTTGATTTAAATAGGATATCCTGATGGATGACATTCATATAATTGTTTTTCATCATTAGTTATGATAGCCAACATAATTTTAATAAACTCACAAATACTCAAAATAATTGATATAATTTTAGATCTATCTGTTTTCAAGATTATGTTTAATTTTAATTAATTATTAGTAAATTTTAGATCTTCTTTAAATTAATTAACTAAATCAATTAATTTAAATTCATTAATTTTATATTTTAATTTATTGTATGTAATCTAAGTGATATTATGTATATTTAAATTTTGATTAAATAGAATATAACTATTGCAAATTTAATTTGTTAAGTGAAATATTTAATCAGCATTTGATTATAATTTAATGTATTTGAGAATATTTATTTAATCCTTAATATAATTAAGACATTATTTACTATGATTTACTAATTATTAATCTCTCCACTTAATTTAATGATTATAATAGTCATATTAATTTCCACTTTATTCTATAAATAAAAGTAAAATGGTTGGTTCTATTTAATTGAAATATATTTTTGTTATTTAAAATTACCATTTTTTTTAATTGTTTATAAACTAACCTTCAAATTTTTTAATTTGATTTGATTGTTATTTAACTATTAATTCTTCCATTAATGATTCTTCAAAATTAAATTGTTTCTTAGTATGTCCTTCTAAAGGTATGATATTTGAATCTCTTAAAAACTCTCTAAATTTTTAATCAGACACAAAATTAAAGGTTTCTCTCATTATTCTATTAATCTTGTCAATCTTTAATTAACCTTATTGTTTATCATATTTAATTAACACTACCCATGTTGGTAATTGTTCTTCAATTAAATTTTCATATTATAATTAAGATCTATATGCCAAATAATGTTATCTTCTTTTCATTTCAACCTAATAACGAAAGAAAATAATAAATAATCTAAATAAACCATGAACTATTTATGGAGCTACATCCCATTAAGATATTGACACCTCAACTCCATAACTAAGAAAAAAAATCAAAGTTTGGCATCTAAATCGATTCCCTTATAGATACAAAACTTCTCTATAATATTAGATTGTATACTGTATTTCAATATCCCCATTTCTGTGGAAGTATCTTGAGTTTGATTTTAAATCATATAAATATCAATTGTAATGGCATATATGATAAGATTCAAACTTTGAATTTATTCCCTTTGCAAAGGATATTTCTGATAGAAAAAAAGTATTGTTAATTCAATACATAGACAAATTGAAGTTGTTATGATATAAATGACATCGTTATTGTAATTGATTAGATTGATTAAAAGATAAATTGTTATTGTGACAAGAGTAGTCTCATAGATGAATTAATTCTGTTCAATAACCCATTTTTTAAAGGAGTATTCAAGGTCAGAGGAGATAAAGCTTAAAGATAATTTCTTGATCATTTTAAAAATATATTTATTATATTTGAAGCGTTTAAAGATTAGTTTAACATCATATATAAACTTTACTTCATTCAATTGACATCAATACTAAATATATATAAACACAAATATTAAGTTATTTCATTTCAATTTATATAATACAAATTTATATACCTTATTATTTTACATTCAATATATTCTTCATAAAATTTAATTATTAGTTCTGTTCTTTTATAGATAACTTCTTCTATTTTTTAATTCTTTTCATAATCAATTAAATGAAACATTATACATCAATTAATAATATTTCATAATTTTTAAATCATAAAGTTAAATTTATCAGATACCTATTATAATTTTGTATTAAATATAAGAATTCTAAAATATAACTTAAGATTTTGATACATTTGTGGTAACGATACAATTAATAAGGATTTGTAAAATAAATTTAAATATAATAATAAAATGAATAGAAATATACCAATAGGAAATAAAATCTGTGCCACTAAAGAAATTTTTTAAAATTAAGTAGTATTGAATTAACATCTCTTAACCATGAGACCATAAATTAACATAAGTGCACCTAAATAATATGAGTTTCTAAAAAATAAAAAAATTAAAGAAGCTATCAAACAGTAAAAGTAACAAGAAATTGATAGGCAAAATTAAAATCTCATCTCCAAAATAACTAATATTATGTAACAAACATCAAGTAATATTTTATATTAAATTTACAGATAACTCTATCTCTACTCTTACAATTAAAAAATCAAGTTCTTTGAATTTCGTTCCCAAAAAGTCTCTAAATAAAGATAATAGGAAAAAGGAATTAATTAAAATTGTTATGGAAAATTAATAACTATTGAAAAGAATACAAGATTAGAAGTCTTAATATAACGTTAAGGATTGGAATGAAGAAAGAAAATGGGTTGAAAAACATATTGCCAACATCTCAGAGTATCCATATAAGGATTTCAAGCCAACTAAAACCCTAGTTCAATATTGGACTAACTCAAGAATTAGTGAATCACAAATACAGAGTATTTTTTTTTAATATTATATCTTAGAAAGAGAAAATAATATGAATAAGAAATTGGATCCTCTCATTTATAGTAAAAGTCAATAAACAAAGTACAAAATATTATATATATTCATTAAGATAAAGAACTGGATAAGACAATAATACAGAGTCTAACCAATTAATATTTCATTAAGATTTTTAGTAAAGGTTAATAATTAAATAATATTTTTATAGAAGTTTATTCGAAACTGATTTTTAACCATATGAACCATATTAGGATAAAGTTGACAAAATTGTTAATGAAATAATTGAAAAACCTAAGTATTCTGAAGATAAAATTGAAATCAATTAATTAACATCTCCCCATAAATAAGAAGAATAAATCTAATAGGAAAATATTGAATCTAATTAAGTATAGCATGAAAATAATGAAATTAATTAATAAGAACAATAAAATTAAGAATAAATTAAATAGGATGAAATTCCAAATATATTATAAAATTCTCATGATGAAACACATCAACAAGAAAATTAAGCTCTAAATTAAATAAACTAAAATAATCAAGAGATTTAAACAATAAATTTTGACAAATAGAATGATGAATTACAGGATATTTAAGATGGAGAAGATATTTAAGAATGAATAAATATAGAAATGTTTTTATACTCATTATATATACTCCATTTTATTTATCTCCATATTTTAATATAAATATTCTTAAAGGATACTTATATTTAAACTTAATTACTCTTATATTTAAAGTTATATTTTTTTAATTAATTAATATTGTTCTGAAATTATTTAATATTATAAATTTTAAAGTAGATAAATATTTATTAATATATGTTATATATTTAAATAATAATCGAGAAACATAAATTTAAATATCACATTTTTAATTCTAGTTTTTCAATTTAATTATACACATTTAGTAGTTCATTTTCTAAATCACCAATTTAAATTATTAATAATTCTTTATATTTTTTTAGTTATTTTTTCATATTTTTAATTTCTTGAAAATTATTTCTAAATATTCTCAATTATCTTTCATAATGTGAAAAATCATCAACTTCTATAACATAATCTTAAAAACTGTAAGTATTTTAAATTTAATGTCGTGAATATTTGACTCTAAACATTTATTATAAGATATATTTTTAACTTTAATTATGAATCCATATTTTATTACTAATTTATTATTTACGTTTTCTATAGCTTGCATTGCTAAATTATTTCATTTTAATTATTATACTTTTTTCAATTTTCTTAATATTTTAATTCTAATAATTTTATTAAATAAATTATTATTATTATTGTGAAATAAATATTCTAGATTCATTTGATTGTGTTTTCAAAGTTGTTTATGTTTATTATTATTGAAACATCATCAATGGATGTACTTTACTAAAATTTAATGATTATTTTTCTATTAATTTATTTGCAAAAATTATCATTTAAACAACCTTTTTAAATTATTACATAAGTTTATCAATTTTATTTCTACGATTATGAATAAGCTATTCTAATACTTATTATGTTCGTGAATGTTATGTTTCATAAATTATAGATTTTAATGGTTTAATCATTCCTTTATATCTTGTTACATCAATATTGCATGTTTCTTTTATTTTTTCAAGTTTTAAAGTATTCATAATCTCTCTTTCCCTTTCAAATCTGTTATAAATAATTTATGATTTCATTCTATGTTCTCTATTGTGAGCAACTATTGCTAAATATTAACGTAGAGCTGGAAATGAACTCATTTATTAAAAGAAATAATCTCCATTCAAAATGATATATTCACATAATTCAATAGCAACAGCATAATTTTTTCTAGTGTGTTATTTTGAAAACTTGAGTTTTTTAAAATATTCTTACTCACCAAATACTGATCCTTCATCTATTTGTAACAATATTTTTCCAAATTGAGTTCTATATTATAATTTACCTCTAATTAGAAAATAAATTTCATTAACTACTTCATCTTTAATCCAAATTTTACAATTTTATTAAGTTTTCATTAACATCATCTTTGGTAAAATGGATACAGAAAAGTTAAGATTTAATCTAAAAAAATGTATTTACATAATTTCTATATATGAGACATAGAGAGTAATTTCTTTTTGTCTAATAATTGGTAAATGTTAAAACCATTCTTATAAACTTAAAGACCATGCTTAATTTTATTTAATGTTTAATGCTAAATACAATTAAACTTTAGTTTGAACTTCTTTAATAACTTCAATCTTTTTGAAAAACAATTTCAAAGTATTTTACATTTCAACATAAACACATTCTGAATTTAGTTTTTTCAACCATTCTGAAAGATTAAGTAATATTACACAATAAAATGATGCACCCAAAAACATCCATAATATAGCTACAATATATTAAGCATAATTTTTAGCTGCATCATTTCCATAACCTATAGTTGAAATAGTTTGTAAAGCCCAAAATAAACATTAAATGTATTGTGAATTTTAATTAATTAGTCCTTTGTAATCTTGATCTATCAAGTATTGTTCATCATTTATATTTGATGCTAGATACCAAAGACAAGAAAATAAATGTAAACCATAAATGAATTTCACTATAATCTTCATAATATTTAATTAATAAGAGTTAAATATATTAAAAATATTTTCCCAATTACTAATAACAAAAACTATTAATATTAAATAATTACTTTTTTTTTTAATGAAAAGTAGACACTTTAAAAATACGGTTGATTCTAAATACTCTTAAGAGTCTTGGAAATTTATGATATTAAACATGTAAACTAATTATTTTACAATTACTTACTGATAAATAGAATCAAAGGGAATTAGTGTTATAATGTCAGGAATCAACCAACCTTTCAAGTAATTTAAAAATATAAACCATTAATTTTGAACTAATACGTTTTATCTATTATAGTAACAAGATCTCATTATACAAAGTATGTCTGTAACTATATAAATTGATAGATACTCAATACAATAGATAATATCGTTTATTAAGTCTAATTCATAAACTCCTGATGACCCTTTATCCATGAATGCTATTCTTAAAGGTAAATAAATTGCTGTTTAGAGATATGTAATCAATAATATAATATCCCAAAATCTTCTAGATGGATCGCCCTAGTTAAATGCAAAGTTTACTGGAAAGATAAGAAAAGCAGATTTCTTCTTGAGTCCTTCATCATGTCTTTCTAAAATTACTCTTTCATGATGATGTAATAATCTCATTACATTATAAATCAATCTAAATTTCTTTGCCAACAATATCCTTAGATATTCTCTCTTTTATTATTATTTGAATGCTTTATCCTTTTATCTTTATATTTACAATAAATCGCAAAACCTTTTAATTTCAACTAAATTGAATAAACTGATATCTTAATCTCTAGGACTATTGATTGAATCAATCATAGATTCATGATTAACATTTCTCATTGATTTACATTTTCTTAAAGACCTGAGCTAGTTCTGCATTAAATTTTAATAAAAATAAATAGTAATTTTTAGATTAAAATATGTTTAAAACTCTTATGATATAATCATAATTTTCTTGAATAGAAAGATAATCATTTTACAGTGGTTTATTTTGTAATTTCAGGGACATAAGTTCTTTTTACTATTTAATTTTGAACCGTTTTACATTTCATAAGATATTGACTAGCTTCATCATGTTTATTTTTAGATGGAATCATCCTTATAGTATTAATAATTTAGCATTTTATATTTTAATGTTCTTCTGGATCTACTAATTATAATTATTAATAAATAATACCTTGATCTTATAAAAATTAGTAATTATTAAAATTTACAATTCTATCATCATTAACATGAGGAGAATTTATCAAAGAATCGCTTATCTCCACAATAGTTGGCAAGTAAATTGGATTTAACTATTAATGTATTTGCTAATATTTGATATTCTGCTATATAGTAACAAACCATTAATGTTTTATGGCTTTATTTAAAGTGATATTTGGTTATACTAATTATCTTATTAGATCTAATTAACTAACTCTAAACAAAAATGGATATTAGTTTTATTTATAATTCTGATCAGCCATCTAATTATGAATTCTATTGATTAGATCCAAATCAACATGTTTATTAATTATGTTAGTCATAGTATAAAATGTAATTTAATATATTAATATTCCCAAATTATAAAGATCATTTTCAATTGTATAATTGCTATTTTCTATATATCTAGGATAAAGTATAACTATTTCTAAAGTTTCATTCTCAATATTAATAAAAACAGATTAAAGATTGATATTTCCATGATAAATATTTCTTTTTTAATACTTCTATAAATTTTGTAAGATCATATATATAATTGATACGAAAGGAATCTCTTTAAAATCAAATCCATTCAATAATAAATTTTCTAATGATTGAAGTTTCATCTTTTCACCAAGAATATAATACTTATAATTGTCCTCATATAGTTTTGGGGAACAAAGATTTGTTTTTAAGGTTTGCATTATAGTAATTGAATTGTGAAATATTTAGAATTCTTTGGGATCCTTTAATAATTTTTTATCATAAACTTAAGTGCAATGTTCCTCACTATTATTCTAATATACTAATTAATCATACTTTGATAGCTTAAGATATGGGTAGACAATTTCTTTGTAATAATTAATACTTTCCAAAAAAGTTCTTGTTTATACAAAATCTTTTCAGTAGAACTTAAATTCTCTTCATTTGTTATTCATTATTTGCTATAATAAATTCCTTTCCATAATTATTTAGTAAGATGATCACATAAAGTCCATCGCAATTCTTTGTCTTTGTTAATTTAATTTCATGATAACATCTGCTTAATTCAAAATATAAACTCTTTATGACAATAACATTATCATATATATAAATTTCCTCTAACTCAAATTCTTTATTCTTATGTTAATAGATAGACACTTTTTCCTTAATTATTTCTTACTAACATAATTTTTCAATTAGTGTTTCCTACTTTGATCTAAATAAACTGTTTGTTTGGTGCATTTTTAGTTCATCAATCAGCTATTAATAGTGATATTAAATTTACATATTAAAATTATTGAGAATTTCCTATGAACTTTATGGAAATACCTATTTCATTATTAATTTATACAAAATCTAAAAAAAAAACAAGCTAACTAATATTAGAAATACCAAAAAAATATGATAGTATGATTATATGTTTTAATTTTAAATATCGATCTTAATAAATTATTTTTAATTCATTGTCCAATTTTTAAATTTATTTAATTCAACCTTCCAATACTCTAACATTCTTAGATAAAATATCAGATCTTAAGTATTAAATTTAGATTATTGTTTTCAAAATTATTTCCAAAAAGTATTTCTCATTTAATATATATTTTAATTAGATTATACTAAACAATCAAATTGAATTACATATAAAGATTTATTAAGAGTGATTCAATTTATTTCTTGATTATTCTATAATCTCTTTTTTTATAAGATGTAAATAATACATATTCTAATAGCAAAAGAATTAAAAAATTAACAATAGTATTAGAATATCTATAAGTAACTTAAAATAAAAAATTTGAAATAAAACAATTAAACTTAATTTTAGGTTTAAAATAAAAATTCTTAATAATAAAAATAGTGTTTAGAATTATAATTGTTTAATTAAAATATAAATTATTTACTAAATGATTAGTGGGTTTTAAACAGGAAAAAATTAAAAAATTTAGTTAGTTGAAAATGAAAAATGCAAAAAGATTATAATCTAATTTGAAGATCTATCAGAAGATGAAGAAGAAATATAAAATTCAGAAAATTAACCAACAAAATAGGATTTAAATATATTTAATTCACTTACTAAGGAATCCATTAAAATTAACAATTAACTTTACCATCCTCGTAAATTTGCTGAACAAGAATTTAAATTTTTGAGTAAAACACCTAGAGATTCACTTTCAGAAAAGAAAATCTCATATTAAACAGTAATTATGGGAGATGAGATATAAAAAGAAATTATTACACCAATTAAAAAGAAAGAGTCAAATAATAATGAGATTTTTTAAATGAATGCCATATTACTTTCAAAAATTAACAAATTACCAAAATGTTTAATTGGAGAAAGATTTTATGAATTATCAAAATAATTTATGAAAAATTCTATATTGAAAATAAGTTCATTTTGTAGATCACCAATAATACCCTAAAATTTAGATTGCTAATTAATTAAGGAATATTTTAAGTAATATGATGTTGAAATTAATTGGCTTTTCAATAAGCTAAATTAATATTTTGGAAATTATAGTCAAAAAATAATTATACAGATTAAAAGCTACTTTTAGAATTAGAATATCGCTATTTTATTTAATATAGATTATAAAGTAGAACAATAATTCAAGAAATATGGACAAATGATTAATCATTAAGTCAACATATGATATTATTAGTTGTAGCTATGGAATAATGTTAAGATAGAATGATTTTAGAATTATCAGATGGATGGTATTCATTATTTTATATTTTTGAATAAAGTTATGAATAGATATACAAGAAGATAAAAATTGGGCAAAAATTGCATGTAACAAATTTAAAAGAATATCCTATTATATTTAATACTTCTAATGTATAGTTATAGTATCATCTAGGTTAAAATAATAACATAATATCCTTTTACTAAATTGTTGGTTACAACTAAAATTAATTCTATTAAAAAAGCTAAAATAAATTCCAAATTAGGAAGATAATAATAAAAATATTTTATAAGATCAATCAAAAGTTTGAGAAATGGAACAATCCCATGTATTGATGTTTTTATAGTGTCAAAATCTTACCTTATTAATGTAAATCAAAAAAATTAAAGAAAAGCTTTATTGTTCAATTCAGAAACTGAAAATGAAGAAGAAATGCAATAGCTTAGAAATTCTAAATTATGTTTTTTTATTACAGTTATGGATAGTTTAAATAATTTTAATGAAAGATAATGTTAAATAAAAGAATTTAAAGATATTATTGTTTACATCAATGACCCATTATAATATGAAACTATATGTGTTGGATAGAGAGTTTAAATTATAAATGCATCTAATTCAATAAAGAAATAAGTTTAAAATTAACTAAATCATCAGGATTTTAATATGAATTATAAAAATATTAAGATTATTAAAATAAATTGTAATTAATAAATAATAGATATGAAATGTAGATTAAAATAAATAATCACACTAAACTTGAATTATTAGATGTAATTGAAGACATCAATGATTAAAATTAAAATATTAAAATAGAAATATAAAATAATTTTTTTGGTGATATTTTAAAACATCAATAAATGAAAATGTTGAAAATTACTTAATTAAATAAAATTAATAATGAGAGATTTCAAACTACATAAATGAGTAAATTTATAAATATTAATTATAATAAATGAATAAATAGTTATTGAAATACCATTAAATTTTTTATGGTTAATAATCTTATATTTTATAATTATATAGTCCAAAAAAAGATTTATTATAAAATTAGATATAAGAAAATTTGGTAGTAAAAACAGAAATAAAAATAAGCTTGATAGACATAGTAGGTTTATTGATAATCTAAATCTATATATACAAAAATATATTTTAAATAAAAAGAATCTTTTATCAAAAGGATCATATATAAATCTTATTAGTAAAATAGGCATATTGAAAAATAATTAAAAAAATTTAATGATTTTATATATATAATTATCTAAAGTTTTCTCATAAAATTAGTTATAAATAATTTATATAATAATTACAACAATATTATGATTTTTTAATAAATAAATCATAGTGATGAGTATATTCCCATAAAGTATTATTTCATTTTTTTAATAAATCTAATTTTATATTCTGCTGGCTTAACAATTGTTGGTTATTCCATTCCTAAATTCATAGCAGTTTTCAATCTAAATTTATATATAAAATATACTTTGTTTCCATTTTTTTCATAAAATCATAACATTATAAATAATCTATGATTGATATTTTTATCAAATGATTTTATTTATCTATTATTAATAATAATGAGTAATCAACAACAGCAACTTCAAGTAAAAACTAAGAATCAGATTCAAGTGCGATTTCTAAGAAGTTGAAATCTTACTCTTACACAGGCAAGGGTTCACCATTCCTATCTATAATATAATTAGTATCTAAAAGAGTTTTTAGATTTTTACGATTCCATCTTTTAGCATTACTACCTTTAAGATCGTAAACAGTTAATTCACCTTCCATACCCCAAAATAAATTTTCCATAGCAATGAAATATGTAGTTCCTCTAGAATTCTTAATTGTAAACATTCCATAAATTTTATTTAAAACTGAAGGTTTTTAATCATAAATGTTAGAATAAAGATGTTCAAAGTATTTTGGAGCAAAAGATTCAAACATACTAAATTCAGATTCTTTAACAGCTTTGAAAATAAATAAATTATCAGATGATTTATAGAATGTTGAACCACTTTTACCACCTGCAGAATTCCAATTAGAACAACTTGCAATTGATTTAATAAACTGTTTGATATTAATTCCATTTAACATTCTAAAACATTCAAATTATTTTGGATAATATAACTAGATTATAATAGATTTTGATGGTTTTCTAGGAGACTCTGCTGTAGATTAAATAATAGTTTATTCTTCCTCATCTAGATCTTATAAATTATTTAAACTAGTTTTCTTTAGTAATGTAGTACTTTTACTTAATTTTATTTAAAATTCTTCTATTAATGCAAATCTTGATTATTCTTTTAATATTTTTGCAGCTTCAATTTCTAAATCTTTTAATAAAGATAAATCTTGTATCTTTTCCCAAAATTCAGTAAATCTATATTTATTTTCATATAAATCATAATATTTAGGATGATTTAAAGCAGCTGCAATTAATCCGATATCATTTTAATTATAAATTGGAATGTATTCAAAAAATGATTTTATTTAAAAATTACTTTAATCATAATTTATAGCTGATTTTGGCCATTGTTCAAAAAATGATTTGACATCATTATCTAATGGTTTTTCTAATCCTAATTCTGATTGTTCATCTTATTAATTTAAACTTTCTTAATAAGGAGATTCTGGTGATTGTGTATATTATTATGGAGGTAATTGTTAAATTGGAAAAAAATTTTCATTATTATTATTTTAGATAATTGTTGTATTTTCTTTTAGAGTTTTTCTAAAAGGATTTTTAATAGAAGGTCCACTTTCGGTTGTTAAAAATGAGAATTAGGATGTTTTCTATTTAGATATTGAAGATTCATTTTTTATTTTTGAAATCCTTAATTGATCATTAATTTCTAATTAATATAAACGTTAGTAGAGTTACATACTTTCTTATTCTAATGCTATAAAATCAGGAAAAGTTGATTATGTTAATCTTTCAATGAAATTCCCAATTAAAGTTAAAGAACTTTCTTGAAATTGACTAATTTAAGTAAGATCTCTATCAAAACTTAAATTTGAAAAGTTTTATGTTGATATTGTCATCATCTAACTATTCCTAGTACTTTTATCTTTATTTAAAATTAATTATTATAATTATTATAGATAGCAAATTAAAGTATCTTTTCTTTTATCTATTTCTTCTTTATCTTATTTTTCTATATGTTATTTTACTTCTTAACAATTAAATTAAAAATGTTTAATCCTATAAATATCAAATAAATTAGTAAATAATTTGATTTAAAAATCATTACATTCAAATACTCTTTCAGTTTAACTATGATTACAAACTTCTAATTAATCTATTTATTCATTTAATTCTCCTTCAAATGTAAGCCAATTTGTCTTTTATGATTTTTTCAATCTTAATGCATTTTTTATGAGATATTGTATTAATTTAAAAAATGAGAATTCTAAATGATTCTTTTCTAATTTAAAAGGTTTTGTTAATTATTTATCACAATTAGTATTAAGACACTTAATATAAGTGATAATATTTAAGTCCATCTATTATTATTATTATTATTATTATTATTATTATTATTATTAAATTTTGTGATCATCATCTACTATTATAGTATCACATTATGTAGATATTTCATCATTAACAGATTATAATTATAGAAAACTTGATTCTTTCTTAATTTCTTTATTTAAATTAATACTAGCTTTAACTTATAAATTTTATTATTTTTTCTTTTCTACAACACATCTAACAAATGCTCCTGGTCCATATCTTATTGAAACATGATTGATCATTTTTGTTTAACATTTATCACATTTCACATTAGATTATATAGCTTTAGCACTAATATATTTGCCTAAACTAAAAACATCATTTTCATTTTCTTCATTATCAAAAAATTTAAAAACTTCTTTTTAAAATTAACAAAATTAACTAAAATATGGAATTTTCTTATTATTTATATTTTTTATGTTTTATTTAATATAGTTTTCTAAACTCTAGTCACTGATATTAATGATATAATATTTACTTATTTTTTTTTTGAATATCATGGATGGTATTGATAACAGCTGGATGATATCTTACTTTACAAAGCCTAATTCTTTCGTTTTCATAATCTGTCATAAATTAAACTGAAAAATCTGATACTTCTCCACAAGTAATCATTGGGGACTTTTGATTATCATTCTATTTATATTTCTATTCTAAATCTAATTTTAATTTATAATCTAATAAAATCATTTCAAATTCTAAAGACATCTAAAAGCATATACAACAAAGTTATTAAAAACATTTTTTTACATCAATCAATTCAGTTATTTTAGGTCCACTTAAAGTTATTTAAAAAGAAGATGTTGATTAAGGTGTATGAATGAATAAAAAAGTTTTATCTTTGTTTTTCTTTTTTTTAAGATGTAATTCAAGTAAAGATTTATCTTTATCATCTAATCTACTATATAAACTAATATTTTATTTAATTGTCTCTGGATCACAATTTACATAAGATGCTGTATCTGCTTTGCCTATACAATCTTTATCACAACATTTATTAAAAACATCTGCAGCTTTCTATATTCTAGCATTTACTGCTAATTCAACTTTTTAGAGTTTTTTTTAACTACAATGAATAGAAACAGTGATATCCTTTTTTAAAAATTCATTTAATAATGTATTATTTATACCCTTTTCTATCAAAATGATATTTGGATTAAGAATATCTATTTATTCTAAAGCTTATTATATATATTTATGTTAATTTTTAACTAAATTATCGAAATTTTATATATCCAAATCAAGAGATCCAAAAAGTAACAAAAATTAAGGGGATTTATGATGAGTTTTCATACGTTTATGAGCTATATTTTTTCTAATTGTTACACCTTTTAAATATCGTGTAGCTGCATAATTAATAAATGGAATTATTTAGATTTAGATAAATATTATTTTATTTTTTATTTCTTATTCTTATTAAATTTAGACACATTTTAAGTATTCAATTGAATTACGTATAAATTCAGACATTATTCCTTACCAATTCTCTTTTATTCCATAAGCTAATGTTCTTCTTTCAACAAAATCTTCAATTGTGGAAATCATTCTCTCCTCTAATTTTTTTTACTTTTATTCCATGTCATCTCCTATTATTATCGTATCAGGAATTTGAATTTTATAAATCTATGATATTGGCTATGATTCAATTTTAATTTGAGGTACTAATTATAAAGTGGGAGGAGGTGATGTCTTTATAGATCTAAACACAATATATACTTATTTTGCAGATTCTGGTAATTTCTCATCCATAACATTAAATGATTTAGAATGTCTTCTCATTTATTATGAATTAAGAACACTAAGAGAATTCTTATCTTCAATTATTTCTCCATTTTCTCTTAACTTTTTATTGATCTCATTATAGCAATCCTAACACAGTCGCACCTTTATTATTCATCATAAAGAATCATACTTTGTTTTTTTTGATTTCCTAAAAGTTTTTAAAGTTAGTTTTATCCATAAAGAAATTTGAACAACTGAAGTTCTATATACAAATCAATACCTATCACAAAATAAATCTCCACAATTTCTACAATGATGTTTTCTTCGGAATATTGCTTTAAATGGTGTTTAGCATTTCTTACAAGCTTTAGCATCTTTATCTTATACCCATTTTTTAGTCTACAATAACTATTAGTTCTTCATTCCTAACTCTATTTACAATAAATAATAAAATATTTAATTGAGACAATGTAAATCTTTTAACTTTTTATTTCTGATTGATGTACTTATTCATAACATAATCATTAATATATTATTTCATTATATTAAAATTCTCACTTTTAACACTATTTTACAAATATTATTTTTTATATGGATAATTCTTAAAATTTGCTATCTCTCTTACATAATATTAATCATGATGTTGGATATGAAAAGATTCGAAAATATGGCAGAACAAATGGATTTCACAATATGTATATTTGCTTCAATGCTACTACAATAGATATTTTAGATAATAAATCTGGTCCAAATTATTAGGAGTAGATTAACAATTACCATATTATGAAAGAGAAAAGTGTCTATAACATGATTAGCTATTGAAAGATGTTAATCGATCATTAAATACTATATCACAAATCAAAAACTTTAAAGAAATGTATACATTATTTATTAAAATCAAGTGATCAATTAAGAAAATGTTTAATGGAAGTTTTAGACACCATATTCAGCTAACATCCTAATTATTCTTATTATCAAGGTTATCATGATATAGCTTCAATTTTTATACTTGTCTTAGGAGTTGAATAAGGTTACATTGCAGCCACTTATGCAGCCTAAAATTTCTTCAAAGACTATTTAGATTAAGAATTATCTACTACAATCACTCCATAATATTTATTTATTAGAAATCTATTGTTAAGATATTCAAGAGATACTTCAAATATTAAACTCAGATAATTGATGTTAAATATTGAACATCCCACTTGTGTTATTCCATGGATTCTAACATGGTTCTCTCATTCATTAGACAATATCAATGATATCTGTAGAATATGGGATTTCCTATTATGTTCTAAATAAAATACTATCTTATATCTTTGTGCTTCCTTTATTGCTATTCATCACTAAGTTTTAGATATGAGAAATGAAGATGATCTTATTGGAGAATTCTAAGAGTTTTTTTAAAATCTAAATAATAAAGATAGAATCTAAGACCTTAAATTAGAATAAGTTTTGTAATTGACAAAAACTTTAGAAACTTAATATGGATTTGAACTTATTTGCGAATAAGAACATATTTAATTTTCTTAAAAGTTTTTTTATTAAACTTATTATTAGCTCTATTGTCTATTAGCATAATTTCAAATCTTAATTACCATATTACAATTCCTTAGCTCAATTAGAAAAATCAATACCTAAAAAAGTATTCAATTTCATCAACGACAATTAAGATATTATACTGAATTTAGGTGGAATTGCTTTAAGTTATCTTATACAATTTTATATAGTTAAAAATTGATATTATGTATTAATATTATTATATATCTGTTAATAATTAAACAATTAATATCATCAATTATTGAATATGTAAAATTATAAGAAAATATTTCTTATTATCTTTAAAACTTTGAATGGGAGATTTAATATAAAATTATTGCTAATATTTTAAAAAGAAATAATTAAAATAGAATTTAATGTATTTTGAAGTTTATAATGAAATTTAATCTTACTCTTAAATATTGCAATTAATTGAATTAGATAATTCGTACAATTAATATATCAATATAAATCATTTAAAAAAAGTTATATTTAATATTACTTATGTAAGTTATTAGAATAATAGTTTTTTAAAACAATATAATGGAATAGAACAATTATCTATAGATGTTATGTTAAATTAGAAGCTAATTTTTTTTAGTTAAAATAAAAAATGTTATCATCTATTTTATTTTAATAATAATTTAATGTAAATTAATGAAGCCTTAGATTATATTTGTGATTCTCTTTTACTCCAAATTTATTGACAATTATATATTAATATTATATCTAGAATTATAATGTCTAACATTTGTAGAAAATTATATAATTTAGAAATAGAATTAAATAATTAAAAAGTGATTTCACTCAAAGTAATTTAATTGTTCAAGTGGAAATAAAGATGTAAAAGTTTTATCTTAAATAAAATACTGTATTTAATCAAAAGTGGATAAGATAAATTAATATTTAAACTGAATAATTAATAAGAAGATATTAAATAACTGAACAAGAAATCAAAGTAAAAATATAAATGAATAAATATATCTAAATTTTTTGATAGAATTACTTGAAAAATACAATAATCATAAATACTTCAAAGAGATCAATAAAATTTAAGTAACTTAACAAATTTATAAGAAAATTATATAAGAAAATTAGAATAACTAAAAAAGGAAATAAATAGAATATATTCTCATATTTTCTATTTTTTAATAGTTTTTCTAATTTTTAATGGTTATTTATTATTTTTAATTTACTAATTCTTAAAGTCTATAAGAATACAAGACATATTATCTAATCCCCAAATAGTTTCTTCTGTCATTGATGGGGCTAAAATTTAATTCATTAAAGATTTTAATTTTTCTTCAGCTAAATATATTATTAAATAAAAATTTACATGATTCCTTATTATTTTTAAAAATCTTTTGAGTGAGATTTTCACCATAGTCATTTAAACCTTCCCAAATTCCATCACAAGCCATAAAAATCATTTAAATATTTTTAAAAACTCTAATTTCAGGAATAGCTATCACCATATCATCTTTATATTAATAATCTCCAAATGCTCTAGAGAGTGAAAGAGACCCACAGACTCTTCCATCAGCTACAAAACCACCTGCTTAACAAATTCTTGATCTCTCTTTTGCATGATTAGGTTTATGATCGAAACTCATAATAATAGCTTTTCCTTTTTAAATACCAACAGATCTTGAGTCGCCTATATTTGCACAATATATTGAATCTTTAGTTATTAAAATTATATTGGCAGTTGTACCACTCTCATCAATAATTGAAGATCCAATTAATTCTACAATTTTCTTTGGTGCCAATTTAGCTAATTCACTTAAATCAAAAATCTATTTATTGAAATTCTTTTTTTAATTCTTTATATTGTTAATCACTATTGATATTATTTAATTATACAATCTTCAACAGGCATTTAATATCTTTCTTCTACTAAAGCATTAAGACCTTCTGATGTTATTAACCATTTATCAATATTAATAAATGATTCCATTAAACTTTCTTCATATTATTTATTTCTAAATTTGATATTTGATTCTAAAAAGCGCGGTAAATATTTGGAAACAACAGATGAAACTTCAAATCCTCCATGGCCATCTAATATTCCAAATAAATATTCTCCTGTAGATAGTTTTTCTTTTATTATTGCATCTTCCTTAATTAAAGATTAATATATTTAATTACCATTGTTTTTCTCCATCCTTGCATAGAGGCACAAGTAAATGTAAAATTCTCACTGCATCCTTTTTCAATAGTGAATTTTGTTTTTGGTTTTGTTAAATATATATCATCAATACACATTATTTTCAACTAAAATAAATGATTATATTAATATATCCAATTTTACTATTTTCATTCAAATGAAATGTTAACCAAATATATCATATTCATATTAACTATTTAATTAAGTATATACTAGTAAATTAGAAAAATATATACATTTCTAATTATAATTTGTATTTAGTTATTGAATGAGACATAATAATTTATCATAGTCTAGTCTAATTATGTATTATACTATAAAATTCAGATTATAAAAATATCATCAAAATATTATATTATATGTAGTCTAATCAAACACCAATTCCTGGTTCAGTGGAAATCATTAAAGGTAATAGTTTCAATTTAATTCAAAATTTTAGATAAACTGTATTGGATTTCAGATAGATAAGCTCCTCGTAACCAACCAAATGCTTTTTATTTTTGTATTGATTAGGTACACAGTATAATACAAATATCTTAAGGATCTTGTATATGAACCTTTTTTTGCAGATTTTGGTCCTCTTAATTTGGGTCACACTTATAGATTTGTAACAGAATTAGAAAAATTGCTGAGTGATAAAACATATCAACAATATGCTATTTATCATTATACAAGTTTAGATAGTGCCAAAAGAGCAAATGCTGCTTATTTGATGGGGGCATTTCAAGTCATAATTCTTAAATACAGTGCTGATGAAGCATGGAAACCATTTTTAAATGTTAAGCCTGCATTCTAAGATTTTAGAGATGCCAGTTATGGATAATGCACTTATAAATGCACTGTAGATTTTCATATATTATTAAAGATTCTTCATTGTTTAAGAGGACTTGAATATGCTATAAAATTGAAGTGGTTTGATGTTAGAAAGTTCAATCTTAGAGATTATGAATTTTATGAAAGAGTAGATAATGGAGATCTAAATTGGATTATTCCAAATAAATTCATTGCTTTTTCTGGACCTTCTGCAACATAAAAAGATGCAGATGGAGTAAATTTTTTATTATTAATTGATTAGAATCGTACATTTACTCCTGAAGAGTATGTTCCTATATTCAAACAATTTGGAGTTACTTGTGTTGTAAGATTAAACAAAAAAGCCTATGAAGAATAGAGATTTATTAAGGCTGGTATTAAACATGAAGAAATTTATTTTCTTGATGGTTCTGTGCCAGGAGATGATAAAATTTTGAGATTTTTAGAAATAGCTGAAAAAGAAAATGCAGTAGCAGTTCATTGCAAAGCAGGTTTAGGTCGTACAGGTACTTTGATAGCTGCTTATGCAATCAAACATTATAGGTTAATTAGTATATAATATCTAGATTTCCAGCTCCAGATTTCATAGGATGGATTCGTATATGTAGACCAGGTAGTATTTTAGGTCCATAATAAATCTTTTTACTTGTAAGTTTATTTTATTGATAATTCAATTTAGTAAAAACAAAATTGGTTGATTAGTTTAGGAAAAGATTCTCCAATATGGAATCAAGTTAAATAGATTGCTGCAGAAGTCAATATAGAAAAAAGATTAAAAGATTTATAATTAGGACCTATGAGTGAAGGTAATTGATATTGTATATTATATTTTAAATAGCTGATAAAAATAAAGCAGAAAAGGGTGATTAAGATTAAGCATAGACTTTAAACAAAGCTAAATTGATGAAGTAATCAAATATCATATATTTTAAGTTAAAATTCCCCAGGGACCAAAAAATGAAAAAGATGATTTGTTATTTTATAAAAATAATATAAATCAAATGTTTTAAATTAAAAAAAAAAATAAGTAATTAAAAGTTATAATAAATAATAATAATGATAAATAAAGATAATTAAAATCAATAAACAAATACATTCTTTATAGATTTTTTATTATTATTTATTAAAAATAAATAATTATTATCTTTTTAATTTGTTTATTTCTTTTTGATAGTTCTATAAGCATCACAAATTTATATATCTTTTAGATCAATTGAAGTAGATTTATGATTTTATTTATATTATTATATTTATGAAGTTCTTTTTTAATTCATAGAGTAAGAACGAGTAGATTTGCTTTCAATTTTACATTTTTAATTTGAAACTACAGGTAATTATAATTTTTGTAATTTATTATTATTATTTTAAGACTCTAAATTTGAGCTTTAATAAGTATTTAAATATGATTAATATTATTGAGTTTATTAATTTTAAGAAGTAATCGGTTTATTATCTCTTTAGGTTAATTATTACTTTAGCATCTCTTTATTCTTAGGATTATTAATAGAAGTATAATTTAATTTCTAATCACCATCACTAATTTTATCATTCTTTTATTATACTACTCCTTATGGATCTCGATGATCATTGATAAAAGAGCCTTCATAATAACTTCCATCTATTTATATTAATTTACCTATTCCATGCTTCAAATCATTTTGATATTCTCCCTATTTAGAAATCATATATTACTTCATAAATGATACCATTTTTCTTAACATACCTTCCATATCCATGTCTCATACCATCTTAAAATGATCCTAGATAAATTGATCCATCAACCCATCTATATTCACCTTATCCCTATGGTTTGCCAAAATAATAATTGCCTATGTACTTATCACCATTTTGAAATTGTTCTACTCCATAACCATTTTTAACAGAATTTTTCCATTCTCCAAAATATATATCTCCATTCCATTTATGTTCTCCTAATCCATCTTATTATCCATTCACCCATTAACCAATATAATAATCATCATTTATTCCAATCCATTAACCATAACCATGTTTCTAAGCATTTGACCATTAACCTATATATTATTCACCATTTTCCCATTTGAAACATCCCTCACCGTTTGGTTTCTTATTTTGAACCTGACCATTATATATACATTTATTCTAAAAGACTTAATAAGAAAGGCCATTCTCAAGTTGATTGTAGATGAATCTTCCATTTAAAGCTATTTTAATTTCTGCAATGTTGCTTTTTATAATTATTTAATTTTCTTTTCTAGTTAATTAATTAAATTCAAGGGATTGTATTGGCAATTTATATTAATGAAGGAGGCTTTGTAATTAGTTTTTCAAGGTTTCCTAGCTTTCAATAGAGAACAACAGTATAAGGTCTTTTTGAAACTAATCAACATTGATAACCAACGGATATTTTTTTTTAATTCTTTACACTTATTATTAGACATTCTGTATTAATTGATACTCTTTGAACCTAAGAATATATCACTATTTTTACATTCAAAATGTATTTAATAATTAATAATAAAATTTATATGATGTAATTCCGAAAACTAAAATACATTTAATCAAATTAAATTGGTCGAATAATAATTTTTAACTCTTCTAAATTCAGTATTCTTATCAATTAACTTATACAATATTTATAAATTTTCCAAATGGGTATATTAAAGTCTTAAAACATTCGATAATCTCTGTTTATATTTAAAATATTTTTTTTGATTAGTTCCATGTATTATAAAAATAAGACTTTCAATCCAGAACTGAATCCAATTTTATGAGCAAATCTTCTCTAATAAATAAAAATGTAATTTATAAATCTCTTCAATGAGGATTTGAAGACAAAGTTGCATTTTTACCTTAATCAATCCATAAAAATTAAAAATGATTTTTATTGCTTTAATAAATTAATAAATAAATTTCAAGGTGATAGACTACATGAATCTTATGAATTCTACTTAATTTATTTTTCTTCAATATTAATCATACATTTGATATTTTTAAAAAGATATTGTGGATTTAATCTTCACATTAATTCTTGTTCATTTATATATTATTAATAATTTGATTATAATCAATTATTATCATTCTTAATTTTATTACTAAATCAAATATTAACTTAATTTCAATAAATAAATTGTTTTGGATGGATAATAAGAAATCAGCCAGATAAATTAAAATATTGAATTATTCTTATAAAAAATTTAAAATTCAATATATCTATAAATTTTAATAATAAAAATGAATTATTTAAAAAATATTATAGATATAATAAATATATATTATCAAAACTTATTATTAATCTTTTATGTGGACTTTGTTGAATACAAAGTAGTTTTAGTGGATGGAGTTGTGGTTAAACTCATTTTCTTACTGAATACATATCTATCAGTTTTTAACGGAGATAATCTTGGTGATGAAATACTATTAATATCGAAAGATAATATTGAATTTTGATTGCTGGTACTTATTCTAGTTTTAGTGGACATGTTTGTTATGATACGGGGCTTTTTATTTATTGGTGTGAGATATTTAATTTCACCTTGAACCTTATTTTTCATAAAAGGTCTTAATGTGCATTTTTATTCTTCTTTAGGATTTGATATCTTTGTAAATTACTAATTCACTTTAAATAACTCAGACACTAACTTAGATCTTTATTCGAATGATAGACGTGTATTCTTTATAATTGAAATGAATATAATGATGAATAAGTACTTTTATTTGCCATATCAAGTCTGTTCGATTGGCACAATAAGATAAATATCTTAGTAGATTTACAAAATCAGTAGAATAATAATTCTCTTCTCCAATTTCTCTCATTTTTCTCATCAATGTCCTAAATGCTATTGAAATTTAATCACTTCATTACTTTAAGAAGTTCCCTCATCCTTTATTACTTATTTGAACTCATCTAAATCAATACATTCTTAGAATATAATTATAGAAACATACTATTGCCATCACGATCAGTCATTTCGAAAAAGGCCTTCAAAAGACCTAAATTAACAGGATAATTGTTTTTTTTCAACATGGAGTATAGTTCATCCATTTCAATTGTATCTTACAAATTTTAATTAATATATTATACTTGAATGATCTCTATCAATTAAATGGAATGTTTCTGTGACTATTTCATCATCAAATAACTCCTTTTCTGTTTTTCTATATTTCTCCTTTACTTTAGATGAATGTCTAGAATTGAACCAACTCTTTGTTTCTTAGAAATGCAGCACTCTTTCAGCTGGTGGTAATATTTACATAAAAAAAAATATATTATTTTATTTCTAAATTAAGTTCTTAAATTTAGTGAAACAATTCATATTTAAAATAATTTAATCCTATATATATATATATTTTATAAATGAGTTTTTTATGATTACAATTTCTAATTCAAACATCTGAAATGTAAGATTCATCCTTAACAATTCTAGGTAACGTTCTAAAACTATCTTTTGGTAAATAATGATTTTGATGATTAGAAGCATTCTCTAATTTAACATTTGGACTGAATGAAGAATTGTTTAACTAAGATATTCTAACATAATTATTTATTTTTCATACACTTTATTCTATTGATATTCTTCTTTTTATTGTTAAATTTATATTTTCTATTTTTATTAATTATTTTAAATAGGCATTTTCCGTATTGCATTTTATTTATTCATTAAAATAGGTAAATCTGTAGAATTTCTTTTAATACTTATTATTCCTTTTTATTGGATAACAATTTTATTTGGATTATTTTAATTCTTTATAATTAATTCAAAAAATACAACTTATGCAATCTAAGAACTTTTTGATGAACTTCTCATTTATTTTTCTTTTTCTTCCTTATCTTTATCTTTATTATTATTTTTATTTCCTTCAGAACTTTTCACTTAAATTTAATCATTTGTATTGGCCAATTTTAATGCTTAAAATAAATAATTATAATTACTTACCACATGCTTTGGCAAGTTTCTTTAATTATATTTTTCTATTATTAAAAGTACCAAGAAATGATATTTAAGAACAATTATAATTATTTTTGATAGGACCACCTTTATAAATTAAATCAAATCCTCCAATTTATTCCTCATTTCCATTTAATATTTTTTCAAGATCAATAATTGTAAAAACATCATCTAGTAATCCACATTTTAATTCAAAATCAATTGGTGTATTAGATGTCATAGAAGGACTTTTGTTAATTTACTTGTTTTATACCTTGCATTCACTTCCAAAAGCCAAGGCTTTAATTAAGAATCAAATAAAATATCAAATCCATAAAGTTCAAAACAATGTTTATCATTAATGATAATTTTTTGAACTGCTAATAAGGATTTAATCATTAATTGTTAAACATTATAAAAACATTCTTATACTTTATCCTATCCATATTTAGTCATTAAAAAGAGTTTTAATTTTTATAAATCCCATTTACCACCTAGTTTTTCATCATAATTTTCTGAAGTCTTTTGAATAGCTACATTTGTTAAATGAACATCTATAATTATTATAAAAATAATTATACAAGTATTAGTTATATCTTAATTATCATATCTGTGATGAGTGAATCTTGCAAAACCTGTACGATATAAGTATAATGTTAAAGGAGAATATGAAGTACATAATAGGTAGATTCTAGTATCAAACTTTTTGCCTCCAATTAAGAGAGGATCAGCTATGTATCTTTAAACTATATAGGATTCTGCAGAAGGATTTTCAGGATTGAATTTAACTTGATTTTTCCATTAAGATATTTATTATATTTTGTTAAATAAAAATATGCCTCTTCCTTATGATTTGCCTATCTATAAAAGATAATAAATAATATTTTACTGGTTTCATGATCCATGCAGTTTTGTTGTCACCTTACTTTTTAAATTCTTCATTAAATATAGGATATTCACTCGGTAAATGGTAAGTCAGTGGAAAAAAATTATAACTAAATCGTTAAATTACTTTAATTACGCATTGGCTTCATCAATTTTACCCTCTTTTTCTAAAGTTCTTTTTTACTTTTTGAGATTCTTTATCATGAGATCTTTGCGAGTTAACTAATTGAAATAGAAAATTAAAAATATTACCTCATAATGATTACGAAAATGATTAATTTTTTAATGATGTTGCATATGAATATGATCCATAACTTCATGAATCCATTCTTTTTCAGCCCACATAATATCCCAATCGTCACCATCAGTTTCTTTCCAATTTCTTCTCTTAAATGCCTTTCATTATTCATGCAATCATACTTCTAAGATGCAATTTCTAAATGATGTTTTATATTTGATATTAGTACTACATATTAGATATTAAATTACAAATGATTTCCATAATTTTCTTTTTTAATGTATTTTCTAAAATATTCTGACATTTATTGAATAAATTTATATATAATTTATATATTTAATTATCAAATATTAAGAGTCAATTGATATCTTTGAATTCACTTTTAAGTTTGCTTAAAGTCATTGAATTCCTCATAATCAACTCCATTATTTCTTATCCTGGAATCTAAGAAATATTTTCATCATCTCGACTAAAACTAATAAAATTCAATAATTTACAAATATTTATCATCATCGTCATCATCATTATCATTATCTTATTTATTCTCATTATCACTTTCTACTTATGATAATTACTAAATAAATGTAGTTTCTGTATTTTAAAATTTAGATTAATTAATATTAAATTTAGTTTAATTTTCTTCTTCATAATTTTCAAGATGATTATTATTACTAGATTTCAATTTCTCTAATTCTAATGTTAAAGCAAATATATGTTTTCTTAATTCATTATCTGGAGATTCTTTAAATATAATTAAACTCTCATAAGCACTAATCTTTGATCTCATATCTTGTAATTATTCTTCTAAAAATGGTACTCTCTCAGCAATAAGTCTATATTCAACATTCTACTTCTCCAACTTATCAATCTTATCTCTCATATTAGAATTAATTTCATATAATTCTTCTATCTCTTCTTCTAATTCTTAATTGATCTATTCCAAAACTAAATTTGTTTAAGAATTATCATTTTATGAATCTGATAAGAAAATATTGTTATTCATTGTAGAAGCAGTCTATGGTCTCATACCCTTTGAAAAATTGATACTCTATGATAATTTAGATTCCTATTTGCTATCCTTGAAAGCTTAAGCCAAATTGTAATCTTATTGAGTGACAATCTGATTATCCAACTTGTCTAAAAATACAGTCCATAGAATATCATATTTATAAGCATATTTATGAGTACAAGGATTATTTTCAATAACTAGATCCTTAAGACTAGGCATTAATTTAATACTATTGACCAAATGTTCAAATTCAGTAATTTAGTTATAACCAATTTAAAATATCTTCAAATGAATCATTAATCCCATATCTATAGAATTTATTAGATTATTATTAGCATACAATTTCTAGAGTCTTTTACATTCTCCTAATGGTTATAATGTAGATATTTTATTGTTATTTAGATTCAAATCTACAATATTATTCAATACACTAATTCCAATAACATTTATCAATTTATTTTATGATAAAGATAGACTCTTTAATGAACTAATTAATTAATATAAAATTACATTAATTCTTAAAATGGAACTTCTGTTGTACTTTCAAAAACCAAGAGATTTTTATCATTCAAAGTTAAGTGTGTTACTGATTATAAATCAGAACCATCACTATTTGTGCAAATAAATTGTTTGGTGATCAATTTTCTTGCTTCTACTAAATCATATGCTGATATAACTGGAGAAGGTTCGATTATTTTTACAGTTTTTTGAATGTCTTTATTATCATTAGATTGTTTATCTTTTTAATCAGCAATTTATTATACATCATCTAATTTTTTATTACTTGAATTAGGACGAAGGATTGAACTTTTTTTGAATTGTAATTATAATTTAGAAATTGGTTTTGGAGGTAATTGTTATGTATTAGATGATTCAGATAATAATTATGATGTTGTAGATTATTATTATTGAATTTATGAATGATTATCATGTAATTATGGTAATTTTGGTCTTAATACATTTACTCTCTTTTGCATCATATTTCCATTTGTATTCTCATATAAACTTGGATAACCTTTTTATTAAAGAAAATGTCTTCGTTTAATATGATCATCCAATTTTTAGTTATCTTCGAATTTTCTACCGCAACCATGAGGACATTCAAAGTTATTCATCATTTTAAATTTAATTAATTAAAAATATATATAATTTCATAGACTTATACTCAAATCATCAATTTATTGAAGTTATGCATTTATTTCTTATTTTTAATTCTTCTTACAATTATTATGATATCTTTTTAAATGAGTATGTAATAATGTATGAGATTAATAATCTTTGGAACACAAAAAACAAGAGAATACATGATAATTTTAACAATGTTTCTTCAAGATATGAGGGAAAAATACACTGCTTATACCTATAAAGTCACATGAAGGACATTAGAACATTTCAGATTAATTATCTTTAGATTAAATCTATTTTAAATTCTTGATACTCTAAACAAATAATTTAGTTATTGCTCTTAGATATTTAAATTTGTTTTTACTATGATATGCTTTTATGGATTCAAAATCTAAATGGAGAGATTTATTATTCAAAGAATTTAGTTATCTAAATTTCTATACAATCATATTAAGTTGTTTATAACATTATTCAGGTGATAATAATCCTTTTGGAGTCATCTAAAATAATTGTTATAATTTGATATTGTCTTCATTTTATAGAAGTGTATCAATTTATATTGTATTTTTCATTGATTTTCTATCATTTTTCTTTTAACCATTTAATTTAGATTCTTCTATTTAATCAAATTTCTTATTTTTTTATTCATCTTCATTAGAAGGAGGATTCTTTTTGAATAATATATTAGTTAATAATTATGTGCATTCTAATTGCATTTCCAATATCTTTTTTAATAAATTTTTAGTATCTTCATTCATTTTATTACAATAATTTACATTTCTCTCAACATTTATATTTTCTAATTATAATCTAAATATAATATTACATTTTTTTACAAATATTGATAAAATAATATAAAACCAAAATAAAAATCAAGATGATAATTTTTATGCCAAAATACTTCTTTAAATAACATAATCTTATAATTATTCTTTTTTATATTTCTCTAAAAATTCTAATTCTTATTTTATTTTGTCATTTTTTTAATTAATTTCGAGATTTTTTTATAAAATTTGATTTTGTTTATGAATTTTTTCTAACATATTTTCCATTTATTTTTATTTTGCCAATTTAAATCTATGTTCATTCTTTTAAGATAATTTAATTTTTCTTAAATCCAAAAGAGATTAATGTCTATAATTATAATAAAATTAATACCTTTTAATTCCTTCTTCTAACTTTTCATCTGTTTCTTATAATTTAGAATTTAATTCTTCGAATCGCTTTTAATCTAATGATTCTTAAAATTATTCTACTCTCTTCATAATTCTACTGTTTTTTAATGATAAACTCTTTTATTATTTCAATTAAGATATTTCATGTTTATTTATTTAAATCTAAATATTAATTATATTTATACTTATCTTTATGTTGATTTACTAAAATAATTTTAAACATTCTAATTCTCTTTTTAAACATAAGATTCTTATAATTTCTTTTATTTCTCTTCAAATATTTTGATAGTTTAATTATGCTTTTTCTTCTCATCTTCTTATTTCTTATGTAAATATTCATTCATATAATCAGATTTCTTTTTTATTGAATCCATAACTTAATCTATCATACTCTATTCTAAATTCATTTACATTTATCTTTTTAACTATCTCTCTCTTTCCTTCTCTTCTTTCTTTTTCAATTATTCCAATAATTCCTCTTATGCTTATTATAATTATTTTTATTTTCTTTCCTAATGAAGATTATGATCTTTCTCCAATTCTTAAACCATTTTCTAATGCTCTCGATATTAAGTTTATTCTTCTTTTTTTACCTTTTAACATATTTAATCAACTTTCATATGATCCATCCTAAGTTTCTTTCTTACTAATTCTAATTGCTTTTATTTTAATCTCTCTGCTTTCTAATACATTTCAGGTGCAGTCTTACTATAATATTCATCTTATTTATTTATTTAATCATGCACTAAATTTAGAAATCTAAATTGTATTCATATTATTTACTTATTATAATTTTCTGAAGCTTTAATCAATTTCTTATCAAAAAGTTCTTTTTTTTGAGTTGCACTTAAAATTGTGGAATGAAAATCTTCATATGATTATTTTTTCAATTCAGTAGTTTATTCGAGAGATATTGATTCATCCTTATACTTGATATTTTTAGAGTTTATTTATTTAGAGACTTAAGATTGTATGTGTTTTATTTAATTTCTTTTTTTTAAGATATCATTTAATATTTTATATTTACCTGTTACATATTATAAATATGATATAAGGTTCTAAAGTGGATCTTTATGTTTTTGATAAAATTCTTCATAATCTTTTACTTAAAGATCCTGTACATTTAATTTTAGAATTTCCATTGCAGTCTAAGTTCTTGGTGAATTTGTATCAAAATGCATTTTAAAAACTGTTAAATGATTTGGATTTCTAATGATATTATTTCTTTAGTCAGCTTCTAAATAATTAGCTTCTATAGCTGATTTTAATAATGAATTAGAGATTGTTGGAAAACGTAATTGTTTATGACTACCTAATAAATTTTTTGGACTTGAATCACTATTCTATTGAAATGAACTCATAGATCTTGTGATTAGAATGTCACCTGTTTCTTTTATATAATCAATCATAATAATATTAATTTTTATTGATTAATGTCTTTTTAATTCCTTAAAATATGTTTTAATAATGATCTCAGAAGATTAAGAATTTTAAAGAGATTTTTGTTTTACAAAATTCAACGAAATGAGTTTTATAGATTAGAGGAGATTAGGAATGAAATGTTGAATATGAAATTTGAAGATAAAGAATCAGTCAAATAAACAGCTGGAACAAGTTCTTGGGTTTTATATTTAAAAAAGAGATAATAAAATAAATCAAATTGGTAATGGTGGTGATCCTTAGTTAGTTTTTATATTGATTATGTTATATTTCATAAATATAGGAGAATATATATAAATAAAATAATAAGAAAATATAAACAAAAATATTTAGATCATTAAACAACTTTCATATCTAAGGGATTGGTTTTCTAACTAAAATTAATTATTTTTTCCACTTCCTATCTGGTATATTTCTCCATCTTTTGGTGATTACTTTAATCATGATATTATGAGGCATTTAAAGAAGCACCAAAATTAGACTAACTATAAGTGCACAAAGGAGAGTATGACTAATATTATTAATTAAATGTTTTACACAATCAATCCACTAGCC